TAGTAGTAGTAGTGGTGGTGGTGTCAAGCAGTAAGTAGCAGCATCATACCAGCAGGAAAAGAAGAAGCAGTACCAGTTGCAGTAGCAGCAACAGCCGCAAACTCATGTTGACAGTGTTTGGAAAACTATCGGTGTCGATAAGTGGCAATATGTTCCATCGAGGATACATGCGACGTCCCAAGTCTGCAATGCAGGGACAGGGTGTCTCAGCAAACATTGCTCAATCGACATTCCCAAGGCTCTCGGACAGGAGGTGGTCCAACGACGACCTTTAAACGCCCTAAACCCTAAACCCTAATCCACATGCAGTGAACTCCTGACCGCGCGTTTTGAAGATCCATGCCGAGAGCCAAGGGCACACCAGACATTTGGCGTGCTTACTACGGAGTTGAAACGCGCCAAGCTGAGGGGTCGTCTGGTCCTTCTGCTATTCGATCAAGGCTGGGCTTGCACTCTACACTGTGAGAGACTGCGGAGGCGTAATGGACATCTCAATTTCAGGTGCTGGATTGGCTAAGGTGCCGGGAAGTACGGCAACTTCGAAAAGATTTCGGACATGGGGATGCGGTGTATGCTCTGACTCCATGCCAAGATCGATCTCCCCGGCAAGTCGCGTTTGAAACTTCCCACGTCCTCAGGACCATCTCAAGCTAGAGGCATAGGCAAGTCGACCACACAAATACTCGCCAACTCATAAGCAAACCAATTGGTTGGTAAACCAAAACACAAGTGTCTGAACTATCACCAGCAGAAGAGTATCAGATTTGCAATCGTGCGCATTGCCACTCAGGTGGCACCTCAAGCATGTACCGCTACACCCGTTAAAGCTGCAAGCCATAGGGCTACTGCAAGCAAGTCCTGCGAAGGAATCAGATGTCATCTGTCATCACGCATGGCAGCAGAATCACCCCTAAACCCCTAAACCCCTAAATCACTACAGGCCCTCCGACTGTGGTCCTCGAGGCGAGAGCAAGCCTTTTCGGCTGCTTGGCCACTGTGCGGCCAGTGGGAGGTGTCGATGCTTTGCGACAGAGTTTTGCATGCGGATCGAAATTCAAAGGCTCGGGATCCTCCTTCTCATGCCCTGATCATAACGCTGTAGGTAGGGGCCTATATTATGACTTTTCAGAGTGTATGATATAGGGTTTAGAAGGTTTAGGGTTAGGGGTTTCGGGCTTCTGTCCAAAAGGAGGAGCCGCTTGCTTTGAGAAGTTCATTGGAGTCTTTTGAGAATAGTCTTAGGCCTCCAGGAAACGATGGGAGTTGCCCGTCGGGCTTCATAAGCATTGCCTGGCATGTTGCGGAACCGCCTACGGTGCTATGAACATAGAGCATCACTTCGCACCTGTGGGGAGTTTTGACCTAACTGAGCCAGAATAAGGTTTTGGCTGCATTATACTCGTATTACTACCATAATTACTGCAAACTTGGGGCGCTCAGGATTCCGAGGTCCTCAGACGAAACCCCTTATGAGGATTCGGGCTTCAAGCTGCAAGTCTAGCTCTAAAGCAGTTCAGGGTTCAGGGCTTAGGGTTGAGAGTTTTGAGGTAGATCCCCCTCAATCCTAGCTCTGGGGAAGGTCTGGGGGTTCAGCTTCTAATGGCACCTGCAAAGACATGCCGATGCTTCGTGAATCTAATATGGGGTCGGAATGATTGGGATAGTGTCTTATAAGTCTTATAGGGTCATATCACATGGGAAACTATTGCTAACTAATTGGTCAAACCTCTACAATATTGTGAGCAGGCAGACTCCCAAATGCGGAGACCTCTGTGCTGATGATCGGGCAGACGCAGGCCACGCCGGCACTGATCGCGACGGCCCAGGTCCATGAGAGCCATCAATCTCAGCGCGGCTGGGATGCTTGATAAATTAGAATCTAGCGCCTTACAAGGATCTTGTAGCGTTTGATGATATGGGTTTAGTATATGGGGCTTTGCCAGCTAGTCGCTTCAATAGGTGCTTCGGGTAAGAACTTGTTATGATGTCCTCACATCCATAGGCCTTTAAAAGCTCAACAACAGCCAGGAAACCTAGAGGACCTCGCTCCAGGCCGGACAGGCTAGTTTTCTGAATTAGGGTCCCCTTTTAGCTTCCCTCAAACACCACAGCACCCTTATAAAAAGGACCCCATTGATGGACCCTAAATACCCAAGTTTAGAGAACTACCCTTGAAGGAACCCGCCTAGAAGCCCTTATAGATTCCTAAGGAACCCTAGAAGGGACATGAAGTTGGACAACCACCCCTATCAAAACCTAAATGCAAGAAGCCCAGTGAGAACTACCCCTATGACCCTAAACCCTAAACCCTAAACCCTAAACCCTAAACCCTCAACCCTATCATGCCCAGTAGCAGGGGAGGTAGCACGTGGGGACCGGCTTCTCCTCGTCACGAGAACGCCTTCGAGCCTGGATCTGGCGGGTACTTAAAGGATCATGGGACTTAGTAAGTAGGGTTTAGGGTTTAGGGTTTAGGGTTTAGGGTTTAGGGTTTAGGATCATGGGACTTAGTAAGTAGGGTTATAACTAAGGACTTAGTAAGTAGGGTTATAACTAAGGTAACTATACTTATAACCCCAATTAGGGGACTTATAACCTTACTTACTAAGTCCCATGATCCTCTAAGTAATTGGGTGTTTTGAGGGCTTAGGGGTTTAGGATTTAGGGCTTTAGTAGGATTTAGGGCTTTAGTAGGGTTTAGGGTTT